ATATGACTTGGACATGTTTGGGCAATGTTTCCCAGCTTTAATGAATATTTGTAATTCTTTACAAAATCATCACATTAAAAAAAAGATTATGCAAACCTGCATGAATTGCATGATTTTATGATTACAGCTATTCACTGTAATTCAACCATGTGATGATTTTGTCAACAAACCAATTACACATATTTATCAAAGCTGGGAAACGTTGCCTAAACATGTCCAAGTCAAATTTTACCTTAAAATAAAAAAAATAAAAAAAAAGCAGTGCACAATCAAGAGGTGACAACAACAGCATAGCACTGCTTGATTATCACTATTTATTTTCATGATCATATAAAATAATTATACATATTTTATTTTTATGTTTACTTTTTATTTAATTAAAAATTATTGTTATATTTGTATTGTTAGATTTTACTGTAATTTTATTTTTGTAAGTGTCGATTATTCTCTTGCTTTATTTAAGATGGCAAGTCGTACGATGCGTATGTGAGTTACCTTCATGGTGATCAGCACGGCTCAACTTCTGCAGTGACATTTGCATTGGATTTCCTTCCTGCGGTGCTGGAGGATCTTTACGGTTACAAACTCTTTATCAGTGGTCGTGATGAACTTCCTGGGGAAGGTAAACATCCTGTCACATGATCACACTAACACAGCTCTAATGACACAAAGTAAAAACCTGTTCAACAAATCAAGGCATGTTTGAATTAAATCACTGAAAAATCTTAATTTTAAAGATTTTATATTGTCTGTGCAGCATAACTCTCCAAAAATATATACATTTAGATTAAGATTTATCTATTTGAACTGCATATAAAATGTCTATGCATTTGTATTGCACAGTTTTAACATAAACAAACTAATAAACGTAATGTGATGCAAATTTGCCAGTCATGCAGAAATGAAAATGGTTTCTGTAATAGTAAATAAAACTAATAGTAATAAACTGAATGCATTTTAAATACAAAATAACCAGCTTTATATATTTATATCAATAAAACCCATTTGTTTCAATCTCATACATTTGAACTAATTAGTTTTTCGCAACTAGCCATATTTTCATACTTTTTAACTGAATAAATGTTTTTTTTCCATAGTGAACAGATTTATGAGTTTAAGCAATTTGAGTAAATGCATTTTGAAAATATGATTATTTAAATAAAATCAAATAGATGCAAATTGTTAATAATAACCATGATTTCGAATGCAGAAATATTACATCTATGTTTGATAAATATGCATCATAATTAATTAGTTTATTAAAATTCTGTAATCCAGTGTTAGTTTAATATCTTTGAGATACTCTTATCATTTTTATTCATATTTAGAATCCGTTTTTTGTAGTTTGAAAGTTTTAGTAATTTTTTTTTTTTTTTTTTTCATTTTTAGTATTTTTTTGTTTCAAAAATATTCAGACACCTTCAACATTTCTCACATTATCACAGTTTATTCGCTATAGTTTAGAAAATGGTAATAAAATATGACAAGAGTTAAACTGTCAAAACAAATTCATCTTGATAATGTCAGATGACTTTGAGGTCAAAGTGTCAAATCAAATTTTTGGTCCCAAATTTTTATTAATTTTACTGTTAGTCCACTGTATGAAGAATTTTTGGGTATGTCACAGTTTACTGTATTTTGCTATCCTCACTTACTTAAATGAATTATAGTGTCCTGCACCCACTAGTAACAAAATATAAAAAATTATATCTGGTGTCTGAATAATTTATGGTTTGACTGTATATAAAAAAAAAAATGTTTTTAATTTTAAGTTAATAAATTAAGTTTCAGTTTTAGTTAACTATAATAATTACCCTGGTCTAATCCAAACGGATGGAAATTTTAAATGCAATTCAAATACCTGAATCTTCAGGCCTAAATATTTCCTTGACTGTTTATTGTAGCACACTCATACTTAAAAACAAGCGTTTGACATTAATCACCTCTCTTTTTCAGCGGTGCACGAAGTCATTGCTGACAGAATGAGCCGAAGCAGAAGGCTGATCATTGTTCTTACATCACAGAGCTGTGTGTCGCCTCAAACCGACGCCACCAAGAGCCTTTTACCAGATAAACTCCCCATATCAGACCGTGATGTGCATCTGAAAGCAACGAACACGTCCTCTGACCAAATATGGGCCGCTTACGAGCAGCGGGTGGGTCTCTATGACGCTTTAGTGAAGCAGGGTCTGAAAGTCATCCTGGTGCAGGTGGAGGACGGGGTTGAAGAGGCTCTGCTGCCCGAATCTTTGCGTTACATCAGCCGCACCAAAGGCATCCTCAAATGGAGGCAGAACGCCAGTGATCGGGGGAACAGAAGCTTCTGGAAACACATGCACTACCAAATGCCTCCAGCGAAGCGGCGGAAGAGCCAAGAGCTGACGGTGCTTTGAGATCTCTTTGACCACAGAAACATTCTACACAAGTACATGAACTCGTTATGAAGTGTGTGTATTGATAACACGACTCAAGTGTGCTGCAAGAAACACAAGAATGCACACTTACACTGAAAAAAGATACTACATTTTTTAAGGTATAGTGGTTGCAAACAATTTATTTTAGCTACATTTAAAAAAAAAAAATAAAAAAAAAACTTGTATGTTAGTCAACTAAATTTGTTTATTTAAATGTAGCTAAAATGAATTGATTGCAACCACTTAAAAAAAATTTGTAAAGTCAATTAATCTTTTTTTTCAGCATAGGGGCTGTTCACACAGAATGCGTTTTTCCACTCCAATGTGCTACTTTTCCATTGTTTTCTATGTAAACACGCTAGACAGTTGCGTACGACCATTGAGCACTGCATTTTTAAGACACTGTGTCAAGTTTCAACTTTTACACACAGCGCTGCTCATCAATGTCAGTTCCAAAACAGTGGACCAATCAGAAGACCCTGGAGGCGGGGCAAGCGTGTCGAGGTTTTGTTTACAGTAGCAAGTTGGCATGGCAAGTGTTTTATTTGACGGAACATGGCAGAGGAGGAATTCTGCGCTGTGTTTTTTAAAGTTCCCATGAAATCAAAAAATGTTTTGGCTTTTAGTATGAATATGTTAGCCTTAACGTTATCTCTATAGCTAGTGTGCTCCAAAACAATGACAAAATTCGCATTTACAAGATATAAGCATTCAAAACTTGCAGTCCGTCACTTCCGCCAATATGGATCAACGCTTTTGATGACATTACTACGGTGGCCGAGAAGTGCAAAGCAGATCACAATTCTGAAAACAAAATAACAAATTACAAACGCAAATGCAAGTCTAAAAAACAAAATAACAATTCAGAAAGCACAACAACAATTCAGAAAACATTATAACAAGTCAGAAAACACAATGACAAATTCGAAAACAAATTTACAAGTCAGAAAACACAATGACAAATCCGAAAACAAATTAACAAGTCAGAAAACACAACGACAAATCAGACAAACCGGAAGAGGTAGGTATAGTTTGAGACAGCGCCATTGGTTTGGGATTACTCACTGCTGACTGGACGAGACATCTGTCAATCAACGTATACAGGGAAGAACCAGCCGAAGAACAGCAGAGTCGTGGTAGAAAGTTCGGAGATGGTATTAAAGTAGCTCAGTTTAAATGTATTGTATGAATTGCCCTTACTATGGAATAAAAAATACGGAGTGTCTATTTACATTTAGTTAAAAGTGGCTGTAAATCATCAGCTCCAGTGGTGCAGATGGATAAGTGCGTGACCTTGGCTTTTTGACGCGATCGACAATTCTGACTTGTTATAATGTTTTCTGAATTGTTGTTGTGCTTTCTGAATTGTTATTTTGTTTTTTAGACTTGCATTTGCGTTTGTAATTTGTTATTTTGTTTTCAGAATTGTGATCTGCTTTGCACTTCTCGGCCACCTTACATTACCCTGTACTTCAGCTTCCCATCAGACTTTCTGTCCAATCAAACGCTAAAATCTGAAGCATACCACCGCCTATAAATAGACGCTGAAGCTGTGAAGCTGAAATCGGTCACTTATTCAAAGATTTAGTATTTTCTGTATGGTGAATGGAGATAGGGAAGGATTCAGGTGTAAATATGCTTTCCATTGGGGCAAAAAAAGCCTGGTTTCGCGCTGTTTCACGCTAACCGTCTGAAACTAAACGATAGCACGGAGCGGATCACATGTGCGAGTCGGTGCAGACCATAAAACATATCGGACCCATTTGAATTCTACACAGAATGTTATATTTTATAGCAATATGGATGAGATTGTGGCTGTCATACACTGTTAAATGCGGCTTTACCAAGCTCAATGGCTCTAGCCCAAGCTGTGATATAAATGAACGCTATTGGCTATTTAAAAAAGGGGGCGGGGCTACTTTATATGTCCCGCCCTGTCTTCCTGTATCAGTTAAAATGACGTCAACACATTGAATAACACTGCACATTTCAAAGCACTTCAGTGGACCTTTAAAACCATTCCTGAGCACTGTGTCTTGCGTTTTTAGATGCAAAGATGCGTTCTGTGTGAACGGCCCTTTAGTATGTGAGTTTACGTTGCACGAGTTTGCGTATTTGTGTGAAGAAACTTTGCCAAGTATCTTGTAACTGTAATGAAAAACTACAAAAGAAAGACAGGTGATGCAAGTTAGCAATACATATTAAAATAAATGTATATAGAAGTGTTTTTTCCAATAGAAGTCTATTTTTTAAAATAAATTTCCTCTATTTTTATATTATTTTGTTAATGCAGCATGTTGAACTAGTGCATATGCAGTTGGGTATTTTTTGTTTACAGTTGAGCCAGGAGTTTCTACCTTTATATTTGTTTGTTTTTTATGCTATTCTATTTTTTCCAGGATTATTTAATATATTAAAAATATTTAAAGCTTTTACAAGTGGCATTGTGGCTACAGTTCATGTCAGATAAAATATTAATGTTTTTTTTAGAAGAAACAAATAAAAAATAAATAAAAACATTCACTGATTCATGTTTCATTGATTCATGTCGTAGCCTATAAAATAATGATTTATTACGGTGCATCTAATAAATATTTGTCAGATATGTCACTCTCATAAATTATAAATATTATGCACTGAAAAATGATCATTTTCACTCAGAAATTGCTAGTAATTTTCACAATTATTTACAATGAAATTGTCAAAGCAACACATTGTGTATTTAAGCTGTCTATCGCCAGCAAAGCTTAATGACTATATTAGGACAATGTGATTAATCATGTTAGCAGTGTATTAAATCATGCTAGCGATGTGCTAAATCATACTAGCAACATGTTCATATATACTAAATCAAGCTAGCAACATGCTAATTCATGTTAACAACATGTTAAAACGCTGCCAATGTGTTAAGTCATGCAAGCAGCATGGTAACTCTTGCTAGCAATGTGTTAAATCATGCCAACAATGTCAAAACTGGTTAACAATTTGCTAATACATGTTAGCAACATGCAAAAACATGCTAGCAATGTGTTAAATCATACTACCATCATGTTAATACATAGGCTACATGTGCTAAATCAAGCTAGTAACATGCTAGTTAATGTTAGCAACATGTTAAATCGTGTTAGCAATGTGCTAATTATGATAACGTAAAAAATGCTAGTAAAGTCTTAATTCATGTTAGCAACTTGTTAAAATACTAACAGTGTTAACTCATGTTAGCAGCATGATAAATCATGTTAGCAACATGTTAATTCATGCTAACAATGTGTTAAATCATGTTAACAACATATTAAAACGAGCTACATGTTAAATCATGCAAGCAACATGTTATACTTGCAATGTATATGCTAGCAAGATGTTAAAATATGGTAGCAATACGCTAAATCATGATAGCAATGTAGTGTTACCCAACTTTGATGAACTTTTTTGATCCACTTCAAATGTTGACTGCTGTATATTATCTATCTATGGCTGCTTGCAACTGAAAATGGTAAAAGAATAAGGTAAGAACAGGTTTGCAATTATTATTAATGCAACTATTTCATGTTTTGAGAGCAAGACATGAAATACTTTACTCAGCACTGAAGAGAAAACAGGAAGTTCTTGCTCTGCTTGTGGCTTATAGGCTACTGTATGTTGGTGGATTTTTCATCTTGCTTCATTTCCACATAAATTCATACGCGTGAGCTCTGAACATGTCATCATGTGGCTGCGGTCAGCCATCTGAACTCAAACAATGAATGCAAATGACATACATCTAATAGAAAGTGTTTTCTAGAATGTCTGAGTATCTAATCGGTCTGATTTTATGAAAATAACTAGACCAGGGGTGCCTAAACTCCTGCAGAGTTTAGCTCCAACTTGCCTCAACACACCTGCCTTCAAGTTTCTAGTATGCCTAGAAAGAGCTTGATTAGCTGGTTCAGGTGTGTCTAATTGGGGTTGGAGCTAAACTCTGCAGGACACCGGCCCTCCAGGACCGAGTTTGGGCACCCCTGAACTAGACTTTATGGTGCTAGAACAGTGGTTCCCAACCCTGGTCCTGGAGGCACCCCAACACTGCACATTTTTCATGTATCCTTAATCAAACACACCTGATTCAGGTCATCAGCTCATTAGTAGAGACTCCAAGACCTGAAATTGGTGCGTCAGAGAAAAGAGACATGCAAAATGAGCAGTGTTGGGGTGCCTCAAGGACCAGGGTTGGGAACCACTGTGCTAGAATATGTTGCTGCTAAAGCGAATTTGACCGTCACTTAGTAAAATAACAACACACTCTCCTCACTAAAGCACGTGATTTGAGTCATTCGTGTCAGTGGAGCTAATATTTTGTGATAAGTTATGCTAAAGTTAAGGTTATGGGTTTGTTCTGACCACTAACCTTGTAATTATAAGCGATAACAATAGTGATGCTTGCATTGTTACTTATTTCATACATTTATGCATTTATTATTATTTTTAATTTAAAATGTTTACATTTTGATTTAAAAAAGGTTCTGCTTATTTTTGTATTTATCAGTATTTTTTATTTATTTATACATTATTTACTTATTTAATACATTTATGTATTTTTATTAATTTAAAAAAATATATTTTTATTTATAAATTATGTTTTTTCATTACATTAATTTTTTTGTGTATTTATTTATTTTATTTATTTCATTTTTTAAGGGATTATTGAATTTGAAGCCCATATTGAAGCCTTGAATGCTATGTCATCTTGGATAAAAGCATCTGCCACATGCACATATATTAATGTAATGAAAAGTATTTATTGATCTTGCTCCAAAAGGCTCAAAATGTAAACCTTTTTAACATTTTATGAACTTTAAACCAGTTAAAACTAGTTTGATCCCTTTAATCTCTTCTTATGATATCCTGTTTTCTAAGGTAGAAGGTCAAGAATGAGAGATAAAGTGGAGCTTATCTGATAAAAGAGTTGAATAAATTGCGATACATCCTCTTTTATCTGCTCAACACTAGTTGAAAATAACTGAAATAACTTCAGTCATCCACTTCACTTTAACTCATCCGGAGCCCATTACAGGTACCTCACTTTCTTTTCTTTTACAGTCACTAACATGGTGCTGAATTATGGTAAAATAGCTATAAACTGAAGTTTTACCCTTTAAAGTTTGAG